TTATTACCCTGGAGGATTATTTCTCTTCCTATATTGAACCAAACACAATTATATGGATTATACCATTTCACTTTCACAACTATTTTATAGGGTAAAATTATTATTGTAACAGTCATTTTGTATGTAAGGAAGCTGAGACTTTTCCTGACTTTATGATGTGGCAAAAGCCAAGTTGATTTTGAGCTAAGAAATTTAGAAGGTTCAAAGTTAGCTTAAAATTCATATTGTATGAATTGGGTTGGGTTATAGAAATTGGAAATATCTTTATCTGCAATGTGCTCTTTTGGTTTAATGATATCTGTATTATAAGTAATTCATGTCAAACTTGTCATCCTGCTGCCTCAGCCTCCCAAGTAACTGGAATTATAGATGTGCATTACCTGCCTGATTGTATATGTTATAATTTTGCAAGCCAGTTTCTTTATTGATTAACATTTAGGTAATTTTCCACTCTGGGATATTAAAAATAGTGCTATAATGAACTTCCTTTTACATATGTCTTTACACATATACAGGTATTTCTCTAAATACTTAGAGGTAACATTAGCTCAAAGGCTTTTACATTTAAAATGTTGGTTACTGTTTTCAAATCATGCTTTTTTTTGGTCTGTTTTTAAGTGGCTAAAATGTTTTTCTTATATCCGCACAAACACTGGATATTGCAGTGTTTTTTTAAAAACCATTCTTATGGATGAATACATAGTGTCTCCTTGTTTTAATTTGCATTTGCTTAATATTTAATGAACTTGAGCATCATTGTGTGTTTTACTAGGCATTAGTATTTCTTTGTTGAATTCGCAGTTAATTTCCTTTCTCTACTCATACATGCAAAATTAGTTGAGTTGAGAAAGCCCTTTATATATTAATATTCTCTCCTAATTTGTGACTTTTCTTATATTGTCATTATAGATATTTTGCTGTCTAGAAGTTTTTAGCATTAATTTTTATTTATATTATTTTTTTGCAGTGCTAGGGATTGAATCTAGGGTCTCATGCATTCTAGGTGAGGGCTCCACTGTTCAGCTAAACCTCCAATTGCTTAGCACTGAGTTTTAACCAGATAGTTTATTCATTTCCTTTAGAACTTGTAGTATCTGTGAATCTCTCTCTAATGTATGAAACATTGCCCCATTTTTGTTATAGGTCTCTTAAAGTATATATAGATGGTTGGTTCTCTGTGGGTTCTATATTTATAGATTCAACCAGCTACACATTGAAAATATCCAGAAAGAAAAAAGGAACATATATAGATCATTTTCCTTACCATTATTATCTAAACAATACAGTATAAGAGCTTTTTATGTATTACCTATATTGTGTTGGTTATTATAATTAATCTAGAGATGATTCAGAGTATATGAATGGAGTATATATGTATGTAGGTTATATGAAAGCATGCAATTTTATGTTGAGGGGCTTCAGCAGCTGCAGATTTTGTATCCATGGGGAATGAGAGGTCCTTGAATCAACCCCTCACTACACTGATACTGAGGGACAAATGTGTACATTTTTATTCTTAGCTCATCTGAATTCTATTTTAATTTATGACATGAAATAGGAATATTCTTCAGATGGATATCTAATTCTTTCCATACTGTTTATTAAATGACCACTGTAACTAATTTGAAGAGAAAAAAGAAAACAGTGAAACAGAATAGAGGATAAAAATAAATCTGCCTTAGGGCCAAAACTATATTGTCTTAATTAATGCAGTTTTATTGTATATTTTGATACCCAGTAAGGCAGTAAGGCTCGTTTCCATCCTTACTGTTCATTTTCAAACAGCCTATTAGTTTCTCTCAAAAGTATGGTTGGGTTTTTAATTTTGATTGCCCTGAATTCATCAATTAAATTGGTATAGACTGACATTTGCAGAGATTCAGGTGCATGGATATCTTTATAATATTAAAAATTTTTATTTAGGAATAATATGACATTAAACTTACAGCTTATTGTGTTCTCGGTTAAATTTTTATTTAGAAGGAAATCTTTGTACACTTACAGCTAGTAAATTCTGAGTATTTTACGGTTTATTTTTTGATTTATTGATGTTTTTATATATTGGTTCATTTAAAATGAACATTGCTTTACTGAACTCTTATTAGTTGTAATATTTTTTTCTATTGAATTTCTAAGATTTTCCAAGTAAAAATAATATTGTAACCTGAAAATAATGAATTTCTGACTTTTCCTTTTCAATTATTTATGGCTTCTTTTTCCACATGCTTACATAAGCAAGCCAAAGATAGAAAGGTATCTTAGGTTATTTGTTTTCTACAGAATGTAATGTTGGTATAGTCATCTGATTGCTTGATGCCCGAACAAATTATCATTTTCCAATATGGAGTCTTATAATTTTTTCTTTAATTTCAGGATATCTAAAAATGAACTTTATAAACTAGCCTAATTGAGGGAGAACATTTTGATAACAATGTTTAGGACTCTGAAAAAAAGGAAAGTGTTCATTTATTTAAAGCAGTTCTCTCACATGCACACATACAATATCTCTCTCTCTCTCTCTCAGTCTCTTACAAACACACACACACACACACACATATACATTTATTTACTCACTATGTTCTAGTAAATATTAAGAGTGAATATCATTTAAATTATTGTATTGTAGTCATATATTTGGACCTATTAGCTGAAGTAGATGAGTAGCAAATGTTAATGAAGTAATTTCCAGTTGTATGTGCCACTGATTTCCCGGGCTTGTAAGACCCTAGGTATTCCTGCCTATAGGTATCAACTAGTTAATTCTTATCAGTGGATTAATGCACTGATTAGGTTAAAGCTCTCATAACCTAGCCATTTCATCCCCAAACTTTCTTTCATTGTCTTATGTATGAACTTTTGGGGGACACCTCATATCTAAACTATAATGGTATGTACAGTTGAAGTTTACTTTGTTGGGTGTGTTGTATTGTGGTCCATCCACTCAACTATCAATTTTTTCCCCAAAATACCTTCTATCTATCTACCTATTTTTTTTTTCTTTTGTGGTGTAGGATCTTATATTTGAAATTCACATTCCTCCTCTTCTGCATTTGAATATGTAAATCCCTTTCTGTTCTTTGAGGTTCAAAACAAACACCCTCCCCTCCACAAGATTCTTTTCTAAGGCAAAAAATTACTTGATACATTCTTCTGTTAAAACAGTTATCACATTGTACTATAATTGTTTATTTTTATTTCTGTGTCCATCATAAACTATGAGGTGATTGAGACTGTGCCTTCACCAATATCTAGCAGAATAGCTGGCATAGAATTGGTAATCTGTACATTTTTGTTGAATGAATAAATTTGAATATGTGCTTACAAAAAATTATAAAGTGAAAGATAAAAAAGGGTATGGGGAAGTCGCAAGTCTAACAGTATTAGAGGTTTCTATGGAATAGGTGTTGGAAGCATATTTTCTAATCAGATAAATAAAAGTATAAACTTCAGTTTAGAGATATGCATTTTGATATAGTAATGTTTACTATAGGTGAAGATTTGTTAGATTAAGTGAAGATCCAAGTATGTGAGGCTATGAAATCATGTTGAAAGTCAGTAAGAAAAACAGTGTCCACTCAGGTACAAACCCTCCAAGGACACAATTTTGAGACGGTATGTACCATTAGAAAGTACATTGCAGTTGCTTCTCTATAGGTAATATGTATTATTGGCTTACAGGTTACCATATAAAAAATTTAAGAATTGCTAATTTTCCAGTTGCACATGTAAAGCTGGACCTATCAGCTTGAGTGGCAATAAGTATGTTTTCTTTCATTTCTGACTTTTTATTCTGCATTTTCATTGTATCAGAGATTGAACCCAGGAGCACTTAACCACTGAGCCACAATTCGAACCTTTAAAAAAATATATCTATTTATTTATTTATTTTGGTACTGAGGATTGAACGCAGGGATGCTTAACCACTGTGTCACATCTCTAGCCATTTTTGTTTTTTTTAATTTTGAGACAGGGTCTCCCTAAGTTGGTTAGGGTCTTGCCAAGTTACTGAGGCTGGCTTTCAACTTGGTATCCTCCTGCCTCAGCCTCTGGGGCCACTAGAATTATAGGTGTGTACCACAGGACCACCATATGTTCTATTCACACCTAGATTTTAAGATTTTGAGGGGCACTCATGAAGCTTTTCCAGGCACCATTTAGATGCTTAATAATTGTTGAATTTAATTGAAAATGTCAGTTTTATTATATATATTGATTACACTTGATGACTTATATATTTCTTGTAAATACTCTTCAGTGTTATCGAGAGAGTGATTTGATAACCAGTCCAGTTTCTTTTCAAATAAAATAAATACTTCAACTGAAATAAGGATGATCTCTATAGCAATATCTGAAGGCCACACTTAGTACTCTTTTGAATGATTTAGGTAAAAATAAAGATTTACCAATATCTTATTTATTCTAAAACTTTTAAGCAATCTCTTGAAATGTCCTATGAAATTTTGATTTAAATTTATGTACAAATAAAATGAGAGATGTCAGATAAGAATAGTTTAACACAACCCAAGACAGTATATGTTAGAAATCAGGTTCAGTGGTTCCATAGTATTGATGATCTACACTGCTAGGGCTAGCAGAGGTCATTCCATAAGAAAGGTATAGGATGGTAGTTGTTTGGGTTGCTTCAATATGTTCTAAACTTGGTTTACAATAGCATATTGCAGTTAGATGGTATATTCTGATTATATAAAAGGTGATGGATACTGTTTTTCAAATAATGTATTATATAGAGATGTTGACTCTGAAATTATTAAAATTGACAAAATTATTCATACATATTTTTAAATTAGTAAGTTATCTTTATTCTGATTTAGTTTTTCTTTTCCTAACATCGCAATTAATTTTAAAAACAGAAAATTACTAAGAAGATACACCACACTGTTTTCTTTTAAAAATTTCGTAGTTTTATCCAGCCAGTTAAAAAAAAATTTAGAAAGCCATCTTTTCTGTATTAACATTTTGGTTTTGATTTCTTGCTACAGGTTTTTAACACATACTCCAATGAAGACTATGACAGGAGAAATGATGAAGTTGACCCCGTGGCCGCATCTGCTGAGTATGAACTTGAAAAGCGTGTAGAGAAGCTGGAACTTTTCCCAGTGGAACTAGAGAAAGGTACATGAGTGCTACAATGTTCACAACATCATTATGTGGCTGTGCTAATAATATAGGATTGGTTTTACAAAGTGTAGTCTTTTTTTAAGGATTGAATAAAGTTTTAATTCTCACAGAAGATCTATTTATTAAGTTTCAAAAATAGTTGATATGGATTCTAATAGTTGATTGGATTGAAAGACTCCCTACCTCCTACTGCCAATTGAAACCCATCCTCTGTAGCTGTTTGGGATGGTGGTTGAGATGGAGGGAGGAATGAGTGAGGCCTAGGCTTTGTCTGTATTTCTAGAAAGAACTGGTGCAGGAGAGAGCCCAGAGAAAGATCTATAAGTGAGAGTGGGGAGAGTAGGTGCTATTTTTGGTGGAGAGAGAGTAGTTATGGTTAGGCTCAGAATGTGAATGGGAAATGCCTTTGGAAAATTATAGACATTTTGGATCGAAGGCAGTAGGATTCAGAAAGATTTAAATGGTAAGGTTGTTTATCTTCCCTGTCTTTGAGGGGAGTAAGGAGAAAGAACAAAGGGGCCTCATCCTGATTTCTCTCCCTGAAAGGACAGCTTCCCTCATGTATTAACTGTTGACTCATGATACCAGAGACTGCCTCATTTATCATCATATAATATGTGTACCCAGGAACTGGACTGTCATCCAGTGAACATTAAATTAACAAATCTCACAAGGCTTTGGAAAAAAAAGAATGAATAGATGATAACTTGAATAACCAAGAAAGAATATTCATTAAAATTTTAGTATTTATTTATAGTATTAATTAAGAGATGTTCCAAACTAATTCTCAAATGACAGAGTAAATATCCAAGAAAAATCAGCACCAGTATGTAAATTATAGGCCACAGAAGGGGAAAAGACAATGGAGGAGGAGAGACAAATAGTAATAGAAGAAAGTTTTTTTGGACTAGAAAAAAAAATTTCTTGGAATAAAAGAAAAAAGACCTGAACTTCCTGTTAGAAAGGACTTATTTAGTTGTGACTGAGAAGACTTACACAAAAACAAAAACCCAAACTGACCCCACACTTAGGCATAGGCTGGGAAAATCCTAGTATTCAAAGATAACTTAAAAAATATAAAATACCAGACTTAAAAACTCCAAAGTAAACAAATCAGCAAAAGGATTTGATGGGCAAGATGTTTATATTAGTGTCAGATTTATTTTCAACTATAGGAACAGGGAGATGGAGGTATAATTTCATAGGCCACTATGAATAAGAAGGATGATAGTATCCCCTCCCCATCCCAGAGAGCAGTTGCTTATTCTGGTGAAAGAAAGAAATGTGCTGACATGTAAGGATTTAAAGAATACATCAAGTACATACTTTATCTGTGTAATATACTTCCCAATTACTAGGGAGGCAAAGAAACTTGTTTAAAACAGTAAAGGGAGGAAAAATAGAGGTGAAAACTATGTGAATATTAAATACAGAAGTGTCCAGATGGAGAAAATATAAATGAGAGCATTAGTCATTATACTGTGCATGATTGATTATTCCCATTAAGAAACTTTCATTTGGGGTTAAAGTGAATTAAAGAGAGATGCCTACATTTTTTTATAGATTTAAAATTGTGGAAAGCATTATAACAGCTAGAATTGACTGTGTGTTTTGTATTGCTAATAAAAGCCAAAATGAGAACAATTCAAATGTTCGTCAGTGGTAGAAATTGCCTATAAATTGTAACATATTTAGTTAATAAAATATTACTCAGCAGTGAAAATGAATGAACCACACAGTTTACATGTAGCAGAATGTGTGATTTTTGCAAACATGAAGTTGTGAGAAAATTTAAAAAGCAATTGAGAGAAGAAGTCATGCAATTATAATTTCCATTTATTTAATTTTCAAAACTAGGAAAAGTTGAACAGCTTATTATTTAGGGATGGGCACACAGTGTTTTTTCTTAAGTATTTTGAAAAGGAGAAATGATTAACATAATGTTTAGGAATAAGGAAAGAATTACAGTGTCAGGGAAGGGTACATAGATGATTATTGCGTGTTGGTAACATTCTGTGTATTTGTTAGTAAGTGGCTGTTTAGTTATTTTTGTTCCTCAAATATAATGTTTTGTAGATAAATGTTTTCATAAGTTCTTGTATATATGCTATATTTCATACTAAAAATTAAAATAGAAGATAACAAAATGCAATACAATTATCAGAGAGTTTAATGCACTTTCAGAACTAGAGAGATCTGTAGACAGAAAACAAAGATATTGAGGAGTGGATAATCAACTCAATTCAAAGCTGTCTTCAAAAGAAAAAAAACTCTTTTCCCTTAAAAAAATTTTAAACCCCTTTAATATCATGAGAATTTCAAGGTAGATGTTTGATTAAATAAAAAATTAGAACTATTGTTCCAAACCATCATGGAATGGATTATTTAAAAAACCTATATTTATATATTTAAAAAACCTATATTTATAATTTCTATATTTTTGCTTTCAGTATTCTTCAGTCAGGATTATGAAGGATTGATATATTTTTTCACTAAATTTCTTTGACAAAAATGATGAATACCTAGAAGTAATTTATTACTTCCTAGCAAAATAGGAGTTACTAAAATCAATTCAAGTTAGACAAATTGCCATAGAATAAATTAGAATGATGACTACAGATAAAATATTAAAAACTCATCAGAACCAGATGAGTTTAAAGGCTGTACAAGCCTGTGTGAGACTATTTTATATCACAGAAAATGAAGGAAAATTCTTTCAAGGATACATGGAGCTAGGCACAGTGGTACAAGCCTGTAATCCCAGTGACTCAGGAGGCTGAGGCAGGAGGATCACAAGTTCAAGTTCAAGACCAGCCTCAGAAATTTAGCAAAGTCCTAAGAACTTAGCAAAACCCTATCTCAAAAAACAAAAAGGCTGAAAAGAAAAAAAAAAGATAACATAAATTTTTAGTTTACACTAAAAGTTAATAATGCTACAAAAATGACTATAGGACAACTCAGTATAAATATATGTTTTAAAATTCTAAATGAAATAAAATACTAAATACAGAAATATTTAAAGAAAAAAATGCATTAAGACTAAACAGGATTTTAGATAGGAGGATATAGAGTAGTTCATTATTAGGAAATTTATCCACATAAAATTTTAAGGAAAAAGTCTGTAGTCAAGGTTAAGAGATATTTGATAATGTTTAGTTATTTCAAATTAAATACTCTATTCCTGAATATTATACAAAATATAGATCATAAAGAATTATATTTTTAAATTGAGGAAACACTATAAATATTTCAGTTAAAACTGGGAGGCAATTTCCTTTGCATGAAATGATCAGTCTAAGAAAAGAAAATACATAATGAAATACCTCCTTTTGCTGATATATCTATAACCCTATCTGTGTTAGCTTTCTGTTACTATAATACAATTCCTGAGGTAATAAACCTTAAAAGAAGAACAGTTTATTTTTGGCTCATGTTTTTGGCCATGATCAGTTGGCACCATTGCTTTTGAGTCTGTAGTGAGGCAGTATATTATGGAAGGAATAAGCGATGGAGGGACTTGCTCATCATGACAGCCATGATGTAAAAAATAGAAAGGGATGGAGTTCCAGGATCCCACTAAAGGGTGTACCCTGAGTGGGCTCTCTCCCTTCCACTAGGCCTCACTCCCAAGCTGAAGAAAGCCTTTAATACATGGGCCTTTGTGGAACACTAACACAATGTATAATGATATCTATGTCCACCTTGGAAACCAAATTAATTCAATTTAAAAATATTAGAATTGGTAAGATAATTTGTAAAGGAGAAAGTCAGATTCAAGATGCCTATAAAACTTAAGTTTTTTTCCTCTGTATTCACAGTAAGAACTAGAAGTAGAAATGGGAAAAAATGTTTCATTTGTAATAGCACCCAAACAACAAAATACTTATTAAATTCATTACTAAGAAATAGGATTTATCTATAGAAAATAATATTTTTTCTTTGAAAAACATTAGATTTAAGCTAGTTAAAAGTTATACTATGTTCTTGGATGGGAAAACTCAGTTTAGAAGCATGTTCATAAATTAAGATATACATTTAGTATAGTTCAAATAGAACTGCCAACAACGTTGAGTTGCTAGAAGGGATTGTGTAGGACAATCTTTAATTTTATATGAGAAATTATAGATGTAAGGGAAAAAGGAAATAATACAAAGGGCTTAATTTACCAAATATCTGAACATAATGTTAAAGCTTCTGTAATGAGAACAAATTATATTTATATAACAATGAATTGGTGCGACAAAATAGAAGATCTAGAGAAAGATATTAGTCTGCAGAAATATTTAGTATGGCACACATCTTATAGGTAATAGCACATTTTATAAATTTTTCTAGCATAACTGAGCATCTATCTGGATGAATATAAAATTGGAGCCTGCATTATATCATATTTAAAAAACCTACATAGATTAAATAATTAAATTTTAAAAGTTATTGATATTTGAAGAAATTTTTATAAAATTCCATTTATCAGCTTGGCTGGTGGGAGGATGACCTTAACCCAGAAGGGAAACCCAAAGTTAGAAAAGATGAATCAATTTAATTGTCTAGATTTTTAGCTTTTAAAGGTAATTATCTCAAACAAAATTAAGCAGGTGATAAATTGCCCTCATTGTAGATGACAAAACCAATGTCTACAATATGCTAAGAACCTCTGAAAATTATCAGGACAAGAGAGACAGGTAAAATTCAATAGAAAAAAGTGGTACTTTTCAGAAGAGGAAATCTAAAATGGTCTACACTGCTTTACACTCTCATCACTATGAGGGAAATGTTGTACAACATAGGCTTCTTACCTGAGAGAGAAAGTCAGTGTTGAGCAGTGTGGTGATAGCATCTTCCATGGTAGCATAGCCTCACTGTCTTCCACATCCTTGTTGGCTCTTTACCCATTTAGAGCCTTTGCCTGTCCCTAGGAATGTAGATAGAGGAGGATACAGGGACTGCTTGCTTCTTGACAGTGCAGCCCCAGGAATCAGTGGCCTTCAAACATGTAGTTCTGAATTCCATCCATCTCCCTCTGAACAGAGAAGAGATGAGATGCTCGGGAACATCAGTCACCTGTCTCTGTGCATCCATTGGGTTCTTCCTTGTTTCACCCTCAGTCATTGCCTCCTTCTTATAGGAATTCAGTATGGCTCAAGTTAATTTTGCTTTTCTGCTACTAGATTTTTAGCTTTGAAAATCTGAGTGATTTTCTCACTAGAGCAATGAGAAGCACCATGGAAGCAAAGAAAAGAATAAAGACAACAAAAAAAATTTTTAGGGAGGCCTGAGTCCAGGCAGGAAAAGTGATTTAAAAACCAAGAAGTAATTTTCACACAGAATAGTTGCTGGAATTTCCTCTCATGACAGTAAGAGATTTGACATTTGAGAGGACCTTTTGAATGTATATTGGAACATTTTGATCAAAGTATAATATTGGTTTTAATAAGTTGTAATGAAGAGAAACCCTCTAAGTATAGTGAATGTGAGGAGGAATTCAAGCACAATGCTAATACTCTAGAGATTTAGCTCAGGAAACAAACCTTTAGTGTGGAAGAGCTACAGTGATCATCTCTTTAAACCACAGGAGAAATACACTGGCTATGCATGTGGATGTGTACATGGTGGGAAGGCTTTCAGTAACCATTGCAGGAACAAATTCACATGCTAGAGAAACTCGATGACTGTGATGAGTCTGAACAAGAATTTAGCCATCAGCTAACCTTGATATATACTAGAAAATTCTCATGGGAAAGAAGAAATCTTAAACACTAACCATTGTGGAAGAGCCTTCAACACACATATGACCTTCATGTACACAAGAAAACTTATTCTGAGGGAAATCTTTAGCAAAAGAATAAGTATTTGAACCAGAGAAGTGATTTCAATGAAATTAATATGAGAAATCATATGTATGTAAACGTTCTAAGTGGTGATCACTCAGACATTAGTTAGTTGTAAAGATCTGACACTGGAGTGATACCTATGCCTACAATCAGTGTGGAAGTGCCTTCAGCTGGTGTTCATATGCAAAAACCTATCCCGGGAAAACATCATAAAAATTCCTTGTGGAATACCACTGAGCAAACAAATCACACTTTGCCAAATGATTTGTTTTTGAATGTATGTAGAATAAAGATGTAGGGTTGTGATAGTCATAGTTAAGGCAGAAGATAACATATAATAATCAATGAGATAAATCCTCTTCAAAGAATTGTAATTATGAATATATAGTAATGGTTATTGCTAAAAACTGTTTTAAAACACCAAGCATCCTATTGAGTTTGTGGGGCTAGTTTTCCTTTAATAATCCATCACTGTTAGTTAGCTAGTATCAGTTTTTTATGCTGCTGATAAATCATGATTACAAAGACTTTGAGGCTATCAAAAAATAACCTTGACTATTAAGCAAAGCACATAGGGTACAAAATAGTGTGTCTTTTAATTCACTGTGTTGAACTATATATGTTCTTGGAAAGGGAAAATGGAAACATGAATAAACATATAAATATTAAGTAAATGAAAAATAAAATAAATGTCAGTATTGCTTATAGTGCCAAAACAAAATAAAAAATTGAAACAAAGGTGAGTGCCTGACAATAGAGAAATGGTTTAATATTTTTGATATCATCTTATCCTGAAGTATTATACAATCATTAGAAATGATTTAAAGCTATGTAAGTTGATATTCATAAGTTATCATTGAATTTTTAAAAGTAAGTTGCAATAGACTATGTAACGGAATGTAAAAGAAGAAAAAAACAAATCTTCTGTGTGTGTTTATATATTTAAACTTTTGTTTAATGTGTATACTTGTGTAGATAGCACAGATGGAAAACTCAAAGACACATACTGTCTTATTTTGCATAAACAAACAGAAAATGTGATCACATGATTAAAGAAGAAATTCCAAATCTTACGGATCATATTCATTTAAAATTATGCATGCATTTTAGTATGTGTGTGTTTATGCCTAAATAATTTAAAGGATTATTTGGAGAGTCTGTGTTTAGGTAGATTGACTATTCAGTAACAAAATCATTAGCTTTTCTGAGACCAGAATGAATTACCAACCTCAATTTTAAAATGATGTGACACTCCTGAGCCCTTTGGGGAATCTTATTTGATAATCTTTTTCATCCTCTTATAAAAAATTTCTGCTGATACAAGAATATCATGTGTCCTGTTCATAAAGAAGAACAAACTAGAGGCAGCAATAGGCCTTACCAACTAGTTATATCAGCTGGACCAGTGTAAAACCTTGGTTACTTCATTCTTTTTTCTTTTTATAGATGAGGATGGTCTTGGTATCAGTATTATTGGAATGGGTGTTGGAGCAGATGCTGGACTTGAGAAACTGGGAATATTTGTCAAGACAGTAACAGAAGGTGGTGCTGCTCAGCGAGATGGCAGGTAAGCTAATTATAGTTGTTAGTGACTTAAAATCCTAGAAAACTGGGGATTTCTTTCAGTGTTATCTTTCTTCTTTGTTTCATAAGGATGGAATTTCAGAGTGTTTCTCAGATGTAGAAAATATGAAAATGCTTGAATTACTTTCTCATTTGTAGGCAGAATATATGCTTTAATGTATATTCAATAAATGAATGGATCTGTCTGTATCTGTCTCCCTTTGAATCTAGCCATTCATTTATCTGTCTAGTGAGAAATGGACAAAAAAATCAAAACATGTATAGCTGAAGAACATTTACAATGGAGTTGAGCATGTGGTTTTACTTCAGAAATAGTGAGACAAATGATAATAGTTCTGGCATTTTTGAAAATGATAGAAATGGCAGGGAAATTAGGAACTCTTCTTCTTCGTTGATGATAATTCTGGAGATAGGGGCTTCTCTAAACATGTTCTACCTAAATATGCAGATTCTTGAGCACCACCTACACCTGTACAATTAAAATTGCCAGTAGTGGGCTCTGATAGGGTGCACTTAACACATCCTCTTTGGATAGTTTTGATGTGCAACATAACATCAGGTCATTATTTTTTAATGTTTTATCTTTCATCATCTCAGGCTACATATAACTTTATTGTAAAGATTTCAATTAATACACTAACCTTATGATGTTTTGGGTTGAAACTGAAAGTAGAACCTTGGCAACAGAAATAAAAGTAGACTCCAAAATATGATAGCCAAATTCAAAGAAATACCATCTTACTTTTAGGAACATTGAATAAATGGCTTTGATTTTTTTTCCAGTATTTTTCTATATGCTTTAGCCATCTTACCTACCACGAAATAATAAAGCACGTTGAAAGTAATTTTTGAATCTGTGTTGATACCCAGAGGGTATTTTTTTTTTTTTTGGTAATCCTAGAAACACATATTGATATACAGAAATATTTCCCCAGGAATACTAAATTGATTTATGTAACTAGAAAGTTGTATCTTTGTTTTTTTTCTGTGTATTTAGGGCCCATACCTTAGTCAGTTGTCTTGTTTGTACTCCCGTAGCACTCATTATAATACTTTGCACAGAGAAGGTCTGAAGTGGATCTTTCGAGTGAATGGCCAGTGGACTGCATGTGTTTCACACTTAATGTGGAATGTGGATATTTTGCCTTTGAAAGTAGTTTAGAGAGTCTTTATTTTCAGAGTAGTAAAAGAAATAACCTCTCTGACCCTTTAATCAGTTACATAATGGTAATAGTATTTTCAGGTATTAATTTAGCAACTTTCTTCTAAGTAAGCTATAATTTATTTGTAAACTCTACCTTGTTTGTACTAATTTCGTTGAAAAATTTAAAAGGCATTTCTAGGTGATAGGAAATAGTTTTTATAGTTAGTATTCAAGCAATTATAAATTGTTATGAACCACCCCTCTTAAATGAATTGACTTCAACTCCAAACCAAAATATTAATTGTTTTAAAATCACAAAGGATAAAAATTTTTCATTCATTCATATTTATTTTTGACTTTAAAAAAAAATTAGGTTTGTTTTCTGTTAACCTATTTACTGATGTTTTCTTCTGTGTAGTTTCATTATTTATACTGACATTAGACCTTTGCTTTGTTAGTTTCAGTGTGCATTTCCTCAGTTCTTTTAAATAAGTATTTACTTAGTATATCAACCCTGCTATTGTTATAATAGATACATAGTATTTGTATCCCCCCTTCTTGTTTCCTGTCTCCATATAATAAACTTTTATATTTCTAATATTTTACTCCTTCAAAATGGCTTGTAACCTCTAACTGCACTCTTGAGTACTTCAAAAAAAATTTGTGTAGTCACTTTCTATATCATCCAGTGTAGTTGAAACATTTTAGATCTCTCTTATTCTTTCTTTTTTTTTTGGTGAAGATTTCATGCCTGTACCTTCTTATATGAGGCCTTAAACATAGGGAATACTCAAAATATTTCTTACATGAGTGAATCTTGTGTTTTATTCACTTTGGGTACATTTATTTGGGCCTAATATTTATTTATTTATTTGTTTATTTATTTATTTACTTATTTATTTTACTCTTTCTTTCTTTCTTTTTAAAAGTTATCTCTCTCAGGGTAACTTGTAATTTATCTTAAGGACATCATAGCCCCTTCCATCTTCTCCTTGAGCTCTAATTTTTAAATAAAATAATATTATATATACTAACCATTAGTTTTTGTTTCCCTTAATGTAGATTATATGATTCCACACAGGAAACTTTTTTACACTAATGATTTCTTCAGACCTCTTTGGTGTTTCTATTAAGCAAAACAAGTTTCCTTTCTGGGCACACTCTTCTAGTCAAATTTTTTGCTTTCACCCTGACATTGCTGTCTTGATATGTATTTTCTCATACATTTAAATGTTCACTGTCTAGCATTTTAGGGAAGAACTCTGTTTACCAAAGTTCATTACTGTTGCTCCAGCTGGTCTCCCTGCCATTCATGCCTGGTTCTTTGTTGACATATCTCTGTGAGGTAGAGTTGTTTTTTCTCTTCCCAGAAACATCATGTCAATAAATAATTATCTAACAACATTAAACCCCAGAGAGCCTAACATATGTTTTCATTAGCTTTATACCCATTAATTCTGGCTTTTTAGGTTAAGGATTGAGGATTCTCAGCAATATCAGGCCAAGGCTAAAGAGCAGTGTTATTGCACACTTTTGGTGAATAAAGCGTAGGAAAATTATGGCGGAAATGCCATGATATGATGGCTTGAAATGAGTCAGGTACATTCCCATACATTGCATTCCAGTAGAGATTGTTTCCAGGCAAAACAGGCTGTTTCTTCTGCTATTCTGGAAACTTTTGGAAAGGCCAGATAATCTATAGATATCTCTGGGATACAAAGATCTGTTTACATATTTTTTACCACCAAGAGTCACCCCTTTTTTTGTGTGCTTTTAATTATAGGCAAGATTTGAGAGAGCTTATTAGTGCTATTATCTGTGAGGTTGTGGCTAACTGTTACTCTTGGCCAGGCATGATGGCGCATGCCTATAATCCTAGGAGGCTGAGGCAGGAGAATCTGTAGTTCAAAGCCAGTCTCAGCAACCTAGTGAGGACCTAGACAACTTAGAGGACCCTGACTCAAAATAAAAAATAAAAAGGGCTGGGGAATATGGCTCCGTGGTTAAGCGCCCTTGGGTTCAATTCCTAGTACCCAAACAAAATCAAAAACAAAAAAGCTCTAAAAGTTATCCTCTCTCAGGGTAAGAGATTCAAACAGAGTGAGTGTCAGATACTTTCCTACCATGATAATCATTGATAAATAAGATAATTAGCTGGCTCATGATCAAGTAGATTGTAGCAATAGTCTGTGGTAGAATAAACCTGAGCTCCAGTTGTCTTTGCCTCTCCCCCTTGTGCTCATTTTTAGTTTTTTAAGCTTGTCTTCACTTTAATCACCACACATTCTGACTATAAAAAGATAAATCAAAATGCCCCTCAAATAGCCACTCCCAAACCTCGCCTCCTCCCTCCCTTCCTTCCCATTGTTTAATAAAATTTTTTTAAATATTTTTTTAGTTGTTGATGGTTCTTTATTTTATTTGCTTAATTATATGTGGCGCTGGGAATCAAACGCAGTGCTTCACATGTACAAGGCAAATGCTCTACTGCTGAGCTACAACCCCAGGCCCTAAAAAAAAAATTAAGGTGGTTTTTATTTTCTTGGTTTTTTAATAGTGTATCAGATTTTAAATTTTTCTTTAATGAATATATCACTTTTGAAATGAGAAAAGCTTTTTAAAATAAATTTTCTTGTAAAGAAAATAGTAATCAAATAGAGTTGTGCTTTCTTATTTCCCTTAATGTTCTCTGTGTTGAGGCAGACAGGAAGAACTATGTAGAATCTGCATTTCAATCATAGGATCCCTCTTTTTCACACTTGGCTCTGAATGCAAAGAAGACACCTAGTTGAACATCAGTTGTCTGTTGCTGGGTGCCCTGCACTTGGCTTTCCTCTCAGCACTTCCGGTGCTCTTCATCTTTGGTGGAGATGTACATTTCTACCCAGTGTTGCGCTCCTACTGCATGAAGGACTTCCTTTAACATTTAATCACCAACACTGCTGCTCATGAATTCTTTAACTTTTTTTTTTTCTTTTTCAGTACTTTTTCCAGACTTATTTTTTTCTGTTTTGAGTCACTTGGGTGTGCACCAACAGAAGTGTTTTTTACAGACACATTACATTAGAACATGCTATAAATATTGGTTTTCTGATTATAAATTAATTGTATATGATAGGCATTGTGAAAATCCTGTTGAAATATAGCAGCTTCAACTCATGTAATAATTCTCCCTCTCCCTGTCATTGAGAATGTGCCCTTTGGGCTTTGATTTAAATTATAGATTGAGTTCAAACACTTTAGATGAAATATTTTGTTGTTAAACACACATGTATATTTTATAAAGAGCAGGGAACTATAACATTTCAGTCTAAAGGAAAACCTTTTTGAATATATCTCTAGTCACCGTAAAATGTTATCAATGGTCAAATAAGTATGTACAAATGACATTTTAAAGTTATAAAGGTAAATATGTTACCTTTATAGTAGTTCATGGGTAAAATTTTGAAAAATGTGACAAAATATGAAGAAGAAAACAAAACTAGCATTTTGTTGCAAGGTATTGGTGAGGTCAGCATTTTTATATAAAAATCATCATGAACATTTCTTATTATTTTTTTGGAACTAATTCCTAGGACTATAATTACCACATCAAGGTGTATTGCATTTCAAACACTTTAGAAATACTTTGCAAATCTGCCCTTTTGAAAGGTTGTTTAGTTTGTACTCAGGGTCTAATAGCCTCCTGCCCCCTCATTCAGGCCGAATATTGTGTAATAAAAATCTTTAATAATTTGGCAATTATTAAATACATTATTACTTTTAAATTTTAATTTCTTGTTTTTGAGCCTTTCCAAATGTTTACTGGCCATATTTCTTTTATTCTTTTTAAAATAAATTATTTTGTTTGCTTCGTTCCTGTTGCACATTTTACAACCAAGTTATTGACTGTTTTTTTAGCACTAATCTCCATAAATGTCATACCAACTCCCCTGACTATGTGACCTCACAGAACTTTCTTCCCTACTCCCCCACTCTCACAAGTATGAGCAAGTACAGTAAACAGAATTAATATGGAACTCTAAACTTACATATAGAAAATTCTGTATTTTTTTCTTGTTCTTAATGTTCCAATTTATTGCTTTCAAAATTAGAGACCTACCACTTTGAGACATCCAGGGGCCTTTTCTTAGACTACTTCCTCTGTCTTTTTCAGCGTCATAATAGGAATTCTATTTCTAGTGAGTATGCTCTCTTGTTTGACATTTTCTGGGTTATCCTTTATAGACCCTTTTCTCCTTTGTTGTTGTTTTCTTGTTTTAAATTCTATATTGTAAGAAGGTACAGATCCAGAACCAAAATGGCTGAGAATCAGAAAAAAGAAAAATAAAAAAGTACAAAATTAGAAAACAAGCAAACTTCCAGCATACCTGATTGGTAGCAAAGAAAATTTCTATTGCTTTTTGAGAATTATACTGATGACTAAAAAAATGACACCTGTGTTTACATAACTTAAAGTGCATTTCTGTGGTGACACAGTTTAATTAGCTTTGTGAGTCCTCTTGGCCATCTCAGTGCTTCTTCTAAAACTGTGATATCCATTTAAGCTAATACACAAAGAAATAAATCGATGGCTTATAAAAAGAACACGTATGAAAGATTCTGTTAAGCTCCCTAGAGAATTAGGAAACTAGCATTAGAATTAGGAAACTAGATATTAAATATGGTTAAAAGGGTATTTAAAAACTAGATATTTCGGCTGTGGATGTAGCTCAGTAGTAGACTACTTGCCTAGGATGTAAGTCCCTGGGTGTGATTCCTACTATTGAAAAAACAAAACCAAAACAGTCAAAATAATGTCAGAAGAACACAGCTTAGCTCAATACAAAACTGCTCAATGTTCTTTACCTATATGAATGACAATATTTAAATACCAAGTATTTGTGAGATTGTAGTTTGTCAATTTCTAATATTATTGGAAATACTATATTCTTTGACTCAGGAATTTCACTCCTAGGTGTATGTTCTGGAGAACTCATATATGTGTATAATGAGGAATATGTAAAATTGCTGATTATATAGTATTTATATAGCTAAAATGGAAAATATCGCAATTTTCCATCTACAAAATAATGGATAAATATATTTGATATATTTATAAAAGATAAACTGTATAGTTAAAACAAATTAGTTGGAATTACATTTATAGTAGTCAGAGATAAATATCAAATACAATGTTGAGTCAAGTAAACAGTTGTGAAAAGAGGCATACTTTATAATTTTTTAAAAAATATACAAAGCATATATAATGTGCCTAACCATGCACACATATTATTCTGTTTCAAAAAAATCAGTAGAAAGGCTAAATATACTTTAAATATTGCAGAGTGCTAAAATGTGATAAAGTTGGGTATTGGAGTATTTATTATCTAATTCCCATTTTTCCATTTTTGAGATATTTCATTAGGAGAAAGAATATATATATATTATATGTTTCATATAATATATGAAACATACAAATTTAAAACCATTATGCACCAAACTTTACTAATACAGTTTGTCTCAAAAATAAAAATAAGTAAATACATAAGCAACATATTAGTATATACATGTAAGCACACACATACATTACTTATTTGAAGTATTCAACTTAAATAGGAAGGATTTCCTGCAATGCCTGATAATGTTAACTTGGAGATGGGAGGTGAAATGGATCCTGGGAATTGGGTCCAATGGTATTTCAGCTTGATCTGATATGCTTTCATTAAGAACAAAAAAACTATTGTAAATATGTCATACACTTGCAGTTTTCAGTTTTTGTGAAGGGAATATGGATGTTTGGTAAACTGAATCTTTGGTTAAGTCTTACTTATTTTTGTCTTTCAAAACAGTTTCTAAAAAACATTAAACATTTGACTAAGATCTGGGGCTTGTATGTAAAAGTTAAATTTTGGATCAATAAGAATATTCTTAAATTCAAGTATTTTGTCAACTAATTTAATGAGAATGACAGTGCAATTATCAAATAAATTAATTGTGGGTAATTTTTTCCTTTTTCTAAAGAATACAAGTCAATGACCAGATTGTGGAAGTGGATGGAATCAGCTTGGTGGGTGTCACACAGAATTTTGCTGCAACAGTTCTCAGAAACACCAAGGGCAATGTCAGGTAAATATGTGGCTTCATATGTACACAATTTGGTCACTTCATATTTTGTTGAATAATAGTTTCCCCTTGTTTTACTTATAAATATATGCAATTACAATGAAATTTTTATTTGAACACTAAAAACTCTGAATCAATATAGTTAATTATTGAGCTATTTTAATACGCCTTATTGCTAATACAGCAAGAGTTTCTAGGAAGATAGAATTTCTAGTTATAGCCTCAATAAATATTAATTTAGGTCCCTTAATCCTATTAACAAAACCAGTTATACAATAAATTAAAATTGAAGTAATTATAAACATATTCAATGTCATGTATTATTTAGACAAGTAAGCTATAGGATTTGAAGCTAACTGCATTTTTAGATCTACTTATTTGTTTTAAAGAATTAGCCAGGACCAAGCATAATGAACTATAACTCTTCCAACCTAATAGGACAGAGGGGACATTTTTTCAGACCTTGAAATTTATACCTGACTCTTGGGTTGTCAGAATTCTAGTCTGGAAAACAAATAAGAAAGGAGTCCTAAGCCAGGTAAGGTCAAGGTTGGAATAAGTTTTATTTGGTCATAGGTTACTTAATTTTTTAAAAGCACTGTTTATTTCTTATCCTTTTTCAAAATGCTATGAATGAACACATTAGGGAACCATTATTTAGTATGTATAATTATGAAAGTGGTTTAGTGTTATCATTATCAGAAAGAAATTGTCAAACATTCTGAAAATATTCGTGAATTAGCATTGCTATAAAGATTCATCATTAGAATTTCAAATCAAATTTCAGATCAAATTTTAGGGCCTTTCAGTGGGAAAGTACCATTTGATGCTGAGGAGATGTTTTAAGGAATACAACCTAAGTGATTCATTTAGGCAGTTTATTGATGTTTCTAGAATACCCATAGTCTTGTGAAAAATATGTAAAATAATTGGAAAAAATACAGGAAAATATGTGCAATGTTCTCTGAGCTTCATGAGTGAGCTCATCTGTAAATGTGATTGTCCTGAAGGTTACCTTGTGTTCTTGAGACAGCACATTCCTATATCAGTATAGCTGTTTATTAGGCTGTAAGATAAATTTTAATATTAAATAAATAAGGTAGACACTCAACTTGTAAGAGCATTTCTTAGTTGAAAGAGAGTTTGTAGTGACACAAACTCATAGCCATCCCTTTCTGTTTTGACTATTGGCCATATAATTTTGTGTTGGTTATTTCAAGACTTGTACAAATTTCATATGGCCTCTTAACTGGTCTTCCTGATTTCACTTTCTCCCTTTTTCATTCTGTCCTAATCATTAACCCCTAAAGGAAGAACATCATTGCAGATTTCAAATGTATGAAGGGATATTGTGGAAAAAGGAATTGACTTTCTGTTTATCTCTAATATTAGAAGAATCATGACTTGAGTAGTAGAAATTTAATAATTCTGCAACAGTCACATCCATCTCTCTTCAGAAACCATCAACAGCCCTCCCTCCATTCTGTGTAGAATATAAGCTTTTTAGTTGTGTTAAACATCTTCCATCCCCTGATCTTTTCACTTGCCTCTCTTTGTTCATGTCTGGTGCAGTCATGTAGTCATCACCCTTGAGACACGACTTGTGTATTAATTATTTCTCTACATTTCTCCTTGCCATTTTTTCTTCTTAAAATACTGTTTCCTGTTTAGAATCTACATATCTTGAAGAACATATTGCAACTCTTTTGCCCTCCAGGAAGTCCTCCTTATCCTCCCTCTCTTTTCTGATCTCTTCTTTCTCATAATGCTCATAATTCATAAATACTTTTTTGAACTTGAGGTTACAGAGTGTCTACTTTTTGTCTTTAAAATGCATATACTTTATTTCCCCACTCTCTTGGCAAAAATCTTAACCTACCCATGGGCTTAAGATCCTGGGCTTCTTCCAAATTATTGAGCCCAAGATCTTAATTTACTAAAATTATACAACACAGGATCTTAATTAACTGCCTTTAAAGAGAAAACTTTTTCTCAATTTTAACTTTTCAAAAATAATATTTGAATTCTCTGAATTCAAATAGTAAATCTTCATAAAATACTAATACAAAAATAAGCTCCAAAACCTAATCCTGTGATAACTTTTTAAACTGGTGTTTTACAATATATGTCCTTCTGTATTTTTGTTCATACCATACTTAGTGGTTGTTAATTTTATCTGGTATATTATCAAGTTTAGCTGGACTTTTTCTAACTACTAAGCACAGGCCTAAAAGGATTATGTAGAACTCCGGCTTTAAAGATTTGAAACCAGAGGTGGTGAAAAATTAAAACTGAGATTTGAATTGAGATTATTTTTTTAAGTATTAAAGATTAAGTTTTTATTTATTTCCTGGAAATGTACATGAAATATGTGTCAACGTTTGCATATTGATCAGATGCATGTTAAAATCTTATGACTTTACCCACAAGTTTAGAGAATCATTTTCTTGTTTCCTCATGTGCTTTGTTTCATTAATCTTTTAATGATTATACCTGAATGTAGGAACTAATAGTATGGATAAAGACCCCATTAGTATGTTGTAAAGGCATATATGTTTTTCAACCTTACATTATTTAAATGATATAAAGCATATTAGGCCACTTTGAAAAAGTGATTCAGCTCAATCCAGGTTATGTTCCTGGGGAATATTGGAAACTCATGGCTCAAAGCATTGGTATGCTATTATTGTTTCCCTCATTTTATTGACATCACTTAAAACTAACTACTCACAATGACTGCTAGTCATATTAATTTCCGTAAATATTTAGTTAAAGAAAAACCTCACAAGACTGAAGCAATTTACACTCAATGTGATGACAGTCACAGGAGAAAGACATGAAAGTTAGAAGGTAAATATGGATGACTCAAGCAACAGTCTTCCTTTTCTTCCTCTATTGGGACTCATAGGAACCATTGCTCTCCAGATTTTAAATCACCACAGTCATATGCCCAAGTCACCTTGGTATTAAGGAGCCCAAAGTCTGTGTGTGGTAGGTATCCCTCATAGTGAGCTTGTCACATAGGTACATTTCCACTTCATGATTAGCTTTGACCATTGAAAACTCCAGGGTGCATTTATTTCTCAGTGTTCTCCTAAGAAACAGAACCAACAGCAGATAGTTATAGATTGATAGATTTGGGGAGTTGGCTCATGCATTTATGGAGATTAAGAAGACAGATGGCAAATCCAATGGGTAGATAGTACCAAAATGCCCATTTTTTAGATGAGGGAACTGAGGCACAGGAATTACTTGAGTAAACTCACATAGCTTGGAACTAGCTTGGAACAAATTGGAGAGCTAGAAACTGAGTCAGTGAGGTCTAGCGTCATGTGTAAAAAAAAAAGCACTTATCCCAGAAATCTGTCCTTTGTACCTGGTCCCGAGACCATAGAGACAGTGAATATATTCAATATTATTCATAGTTTATAAAAGAGTCAGCTTTATGATACTTATTTCTTTTTTTGTTTGTTTGTTTATTTTGGTGTGGTGCTAAGGATTGAACCCCCAGCCTTGTGCATGGTAGGCAAGTGCTCTACCCCTGAGCCACACTCCAGACCCTGCTTTTATCTCTGCTAGCTCTAATAAAATTCAGAACACATATTTTTTCTCTTATTTACAGAGATTTAAGACAAGAGACTGAATCAGTTTTGTTTAAATGTGAGACATTACTGATAAAATGATAGCAGATAAAGTTGTATTTTGTATTCAAAAATACTTGTAGTTTTGTATAACTTTAAACAATCTGTAAATATCTATTGATTCTTTCTATAGGTTTCAATTGGTTTTTATCCTTTTCAAATTACTTTATATTATTGTCTTTTAATGAGTTTATAAATTCTAGTTTAAGATTAGTTTTCCCATAACTAAACATGGACCAACAAACATAATTTGGTTTTAAAAGATCTCAAAGAAAAACATCATTTAATATATTATGAACTGTGAATAGGTGGGTAAAACTGCTCATATAACATTCTGAGTCTAACCTGTTTTTAAATTATCTTTATGTAATACAGAACCTGAGGATGAGAACAGAAGTTTATTGTAACTTGTTAACTAAATTACATTAGTGAAGTCATATCCTGTCAATACCACAGAGACTGTAGGTTTTTAAACAACTCTTAAAGCATTTTCTTTAGGTTTGCACCATGAATCACTAAATACATAATAAAAACATATGAAATAGTATTAGTCTAAAGTCAAAAGAAGAGAGCTGTACATGCATTACATAATTCATATTGGAAAGCATTAGTTAATATAGATTTTATCTGGATTTATCAAGTGCTTATTTCAGAGTTATCCAGAGTGTGATATTGATCCTTGATGAAAGTATGAAATATATTAATTAGGGATGAGGCAAGGTATAGCAGCCTATTGAAATAGTTTTGAAATACTAATTGGATTTGAAACATATACCTGGATTTGGTGTATAACAAAAACAGAAGAGTTAATATGTCAAATTGATTGGGCTAAGTTATGCCCAGATAGCTCGTAAATCATTATCTATATGTGTCTGTGAGAATGTTTCTGGAAAAGATTAGCATTTGAATCAGTCAACTGAGTAAAGATCACCCTCACCAATGTGGGCAAGCATTATCTAATGCAGAGAGCCCAAAAAGTTTAAAAAAAAAAAAAGATTGAAGAAGGGTGAATTCAAAAACTGTGTTTGAACTGGAACATCTTCTGCTCTTGGACATTGGGACTCCTGGTTTTCAGGTGTTTGAACTCATTCTAGGATATACCCTATTGGCTTCCCTATATCATATGATACACACTTGGCCAGTTACTGTTTATCAAGTCTCAGTTCATAAATCATTTCTTTAGTGGATGAGTTCTTCTCATATTATGCTATTTATGTTGTCTAAACCCCAAGTCAGTCTCTATCATATTATTATTTTTTTCCAAATAGTGTTCATCTCATGCTACTCTGTCTTTCTGGTGTTGACTCTCTTTTTTGATCCCCTAACAAATCAATTCCCATCTAGGCTGTGTGATGATTAGAA